TTTCGGAAACTTATGAGAATATTATTGGGCTCCCGTGAAAAATGTTTGCTTCTACATCCATTAACCTGTTTATATGTGGATGATAGATTAATTTTGCACGGAGTTTGTTGTTGTTGTTGTTGTTTTTTTTTTTTTACAAATTCAAATATTTCAATTTTATTTTTGTATGAAAAATATGCATTATCTTTTGTCAAATATTGTCATTTATTGAATTTGGTAAGAATAATCGAGCGCCTTACGTGTTAAAAATATCTTTTCAACGCCTATAGTTAATGTAGTATACATTAACGTAATATTTATATTGTGATTTTCTGGGTATGTGATAAAGTCACACGCATGTATATATATATATATATATATATATATATATATATATATATATCCAATATCATATAAAAGATAATTGAAAATCCGAAATTTGAATTAACGTGGGTTTGTGAATCACATATAACGTTTCCTGTTTATGAGATATTAATAATTAGATGAATGATTTTACATTATAAAACTATTTACCATAGAAATTAATTAGAGATAAAAATTTCTCACGAATAAATAACATTATTTCCGTTCAACAAACATAGAATTGTTCGTTTTAACCCATGACACGTTATTTTAATACCTCGCGTTCGTTGATGCTATAAATTAATATTTCATATGTTGTAAAACTATTGCAATATTAATTTAAATTTTACGATGACGTTATATTGTTTCGTGGATAAATATTATTAACAATATTAATAAGTTGTGTACAAATATATGTAATACGATATACATAGTGCAGAATTTTATTAAGGTAAATAAAACTTTTTAATAAGAAACTGAATATTTTAAAATATTTTATAAAGTAAAGCTTGATACAAAATGAGTAAATTATACACGATACTTTGTTTGTTCACTTGTGCACTCGTAGGTGCCAGCAAATTTAAAGCGGGAAAATGATTAAAAAGGAAAAAAAGAAGAAAAAAAGAAGTTAATATAAATAATGAAAAATTATAATCATAATCTAATGAAATTTTCGCTTATTTAAACAAACCGCGAAAACAGCAATCTAAACATCACTCTCATTTTAATTTACGCCAATCAGATTCACCAATTTCAGTAAACGTACAGGTTCCTGCCGTGTATCAAACTTCATTTTAATTTCCCCCTCGTATTTTCTCATTTCTTCTCGCTTTTATAATACGTTGCGATGCTAACATAAGTAACATGACGGCTTTTCATATAAAATTGATATTCTGACGGATTATTTACAAAAGAAAGCACTGCATTCTCTAAAGAACGGCAGTATAAACCGTAATGCTCGAGGAGTTTGAATATAAAATTGTAGCAAAGAAAAATATCTTACAATTAAGTTAAGAAATCAAAAACGAAATATAAATAGTAAGGTTTGCGGCCCCTCGATTCCAAAAACAAAAGATTTCACTCTTTTCAAACCGCATCCTTAAAACAGGCGTAGTGTATCTACGATAATCAATCAACGTGCTTCCAAGTTATCATATAATCAATGAAAATGCACTTGCGTTAGCACGTGACGTTAACATAGCAAATTATATGTGTAAATTTACGAAAAGCTATATTTAACTCAAACGTAAACTAAGCATTACAATTCAGACGAATTGTTTCACTTTTTAACAAGAGGAAACAATCGAACTTACATACTTTGCGGCTAAATTCTCACCTACGTATCCTTAGTACTGGGGTACTGTACTGGAGGGGGGGGGGAGAAGAACTCGACTCGTCGGTCCTTCACGCTCGTCCAATTACGATTTCGCACACTCGACACAACCGAGCGTCCGAGTATATCGATATGCGCGCCGGCCAGTCGCAATCAAATGTACGGCCGTTCGTGATAATCCTCAAAAAAGTGAAAAAAAAAAAAAACAAAACAAAAAAAAAGAGGGGAAAAAGCAGGCAACCCAGACATTCCGGATCCTGGGGCGAGAAAAAGAAGAGGCCGCGAACCCGAGGACCTGGCGCGGACGTCCGTGATTTGCGATGAATCCCCCGTTAATTCGAGTGGCGCCGAAACAGTATCGCTCCCCTTCCCTCCCTGCCACCCTTCCGGCCCAAAGCTCCAGCCCTCGACGCTCGACAACTCTCCGCATCCGCGGCGGCAAAAGGGCGGCGGCGTTTAGCCCCCGGCGACCAAGCGCGGCTGCGTCCCGACGCCGCGGATCCCAAAGGTGTCCAGCAAGTACTCTCGTGGTACTACCGAGTTCTGATTTTTAGTTGCTTTCGGGCATCTTTGAGTTGGTTGGTCTTTGAGGGTACAACACGTGCCGAATATATTTACCTGTCTTTATGCGCATCTTCTTCGCTCATTTAAAATAAGTAAAAAAATGTTTGGAACTTGAAAGGATCGATATTGTTTTATGCAGTCAATGCGCGCTCTCGCCTAAAGCTCCAGGGGCGATCATATTTTGCATGATTATTATTAGATACACGTCTGTTGGTTGCGGAATTTTCTTACAAGTTATTTAATAAAGCATCCCAATTAAATAGCTTAGATTTTTATCTTTCGCGAATGGGTTGAATTATCGTGTTTATTAGCCAATATTATAAGGTTTAGATTGATTATATGGCTTTGGAATGCTTATGAAATGTCACGTAGCTCTATGAAACTTTTGCGTTCTTTTTCGTTGTTGAGAAAAACATTCAAACAACCACAAATTCACAAAGCCGTATGAAACATTTTCGCTGGTGAAAATGGAAAAACGGGACGTTTCCTCAATACTCACTTGTAGCCAGTAAATTAGCAATGGAAAATGGAAGCTAAAAACGCCATAGACCGGAACGGGTGAGCTACCATATAGTCCTCGAAGTCAAAGAGACGAAAGCGCGTTGGAGCATGCAAAATAGAAAGTGCGTGCACGTGCTAAAGCGAGAGAGAGAGAGATAGAGAGAGAGAGAGAGAGAGAGAGCGGTGGAGTGGTTGAGCGGCTGAGGGGAGGAGGGAGGGCCGGGGGGGGGGCGGGCCAACCTTAAGAACCCTCGAAAATATGAAACATCGCGCGTATCGCACGAACATCAACGGCAGGCAGTTTTCATGGCCACCTACGCAATGCGATCGGTAAAATGCGCGCGTTATACCTCGCTCTTTCAACTATTACTCTCTCACTTCTCACATACAATATTCGCAGCAATAATCTCTTCGGGCTTACGCTGATGAAGCAAAAAGAAGGAAAATTTATAACGGCCATCATGGACCAAAATGGTCCATCTTTAGTCAGGTATAAATTTGACTTTGCGGGGCGCCCATTACATGCACAGTCCCTCAGCATTGTTAAATAAAATGCTGAAGAAGATTTAGTCTGAGCGTCCGCGCGTCGCCTTTCCCGTCTTGTTCTTCTTCTCTTCTTTTCTCATTGGCTCGATAAAAAAAAAAAACTTTTAATAATCTTTTTCGGGACCTTTATGGCAAGTTAAATATCGCAAAATTTTAATAAGTTAAGCGTATTATTGTACGCTAAGCAGATATAAATGCACGGGAAATAACATTTTGGAAGTTATTGCCGCGAAGATAAGCGAGAGAAGAATAAAAACTACCGATGCAGTTAACAGACCATTTCTTGAATCTGGTTTCAAATAAATTACACTATTAGCCGTGTATTGCGGCTTGATAGCATTAAAGAAGAATTTCTATACACGCCACATGCTACAGCATTTTGATAAAAATGAAGAGATTTTATGGCTCGAGGCTGTGCGCAGCAAAAATAAAATTTGCGAAAACTATTAGCCGCGCAGTTTGAGAGCATTAAAAAAGGAAGGTATAGAGTTTTATATTTTTGTCACGCCTGCAAATCGTACTATAAAAGAACTTACCTTTTCAAATAACAATATTATTCAGACTTTACTGAAGATCGTTAATTTTAGCTGAGAATATATAAAGCTACGTTATCTTCGCTATCGTTCTATAATAATAAGTAGTGCTTAGCCTTTAAACCAAGTATATTTAACGTGTGTAGAATAAAATTTCGTATTGTGCTAGTGAGGTTGAATACTATTTAATCGCTTCTCGACTCGACTCGCGATTTATGGATAATCGGTAAGTTGGTAAACACATGATACAATTTGTATTTTCACGAGTACAAAGTGCACTATTTTCTATTCAATACGGACAGTGAACGACAATGAGGAGAGGCGTGCAAATTATATTAAATGACTTTTGCACGCTGGGAAAACATTGGGAGAAGCTTGTAGTGCGATCGGCTAGGATTATAAAACGCAAATTCTAAGCTCTTGATTGAGGAAAATGGCCAAGACTTATTAATTAGATGATTATTGTTGCATTTTGATAGTGGAGGCAAAATTCTCACGAACGGGCTCCATTAACCATTTTATTCGTCGCGAATGTCTTTTGCGCATCCGTCAAGTGATAAACGAGCCCGTGCGCGGATTTGTGCGAGTGCACCGCCTACGCTTGGACGCCTTAGTTTTAAGCGACGCGCCGCTACGACGGCGATCGATGAAATATTGCGTACGTGATCGGCTATTTTAAAATGTAACGTCGTACGTCGCTTTTCCATTGTACACGTGAGTGTTATTCATGAGGCCAAGGGAGAAAGGAAGTGGGATTTTCATGTTTCTCGTGCCTGCCGCCCGAATGATTATGCCGACCGGTACTTCTCTCCTCTCCTTCCATTTCCTATGAGTTTCTTTTAATTACTCGGTGATCGAGCGCTCAAACGGCCGATCGCGTATCGCTAATAATAAATTGAATGACGGAAAAAAAAAACTACGTCCCATGATTTATGGCCGACCGTAACTTACGATGCACTCGAAGGCGCTGTGCAATATTTTTAAGCGTAATTAAATTGCGCATTATTGGAGCTTCGATAAAATCGTACGCATTTTCCCTTTATTGAGTTGTTGGCCAATAAAAATCGAAATAAGCAATCGCTACTAATTATATAATAAGTTTATAATTTAGCTATTTATAAGCATCGCATACCCATCATTGCCCGCGATATCCCTTGAGCAGTAAATTGCCGTTCACGTACCTGTACCTGAACAAAACAAAAAAGAAAAATTGATTATTTTGATATGCATGATACATTCTATAATATTACTTATTTTATTATTCTTTCTTTTTTTTTTTTTTTTTTTTTTTTTTTTTTTTTTGTTTTCCCCTCGTTTTATTGCAATGCCATTATACCGGTGTTTATGTTTACATAGTATTATTTTCACGATAATCATGGAATTACTTTCAATACTTGACCGACAATTACAAATGCAATAACAAGTAGCATATTTACTACTTAAGATGTCAAAGGATATACTAAAGTATATTAGAATATTTAATGTGCAGTGCACATGAAATTGACGAGAATTATGTTATTAAATTATAATAACTTTTTTCGTAAGAGGGAAGGAACATAATTTTACAATAATCCATTTTTAAAGCGCGGAAGCAGACATTTACAGTGTAAATTATCCAAAATGGTGCAGTTTGAAGGTGGTAAAAGACCTTCCACTGTATTATTTAATTTAGGACTGCGCATGTGAATAATAATCGTAGAATGTATAGGACGCATTTACAATTACAAATTCGCGGATTTAATATATTTCCGGATTGAGAAATTTTAATCTAACATGCGAACTTCGTAAAAACACGATACTTCTAATACTATACTAGTAGAGTTTACTAGCCATCTCAAATGTTTCATAACTTCAATGTACAATATCGTTAAATAAAAGAGACTAAGCTCCATTAGGATTTTTATGCACCTTTGACATTATTTTCTATGAAAATTAAATCTGAAGATTACATTTATATTAACAATGTACCTCTAATTATGACTCTTATATGTTCATTATATAAACGAAAAAATCTTCTTATATTAATAACATCTACTTTTTAAATAATGAATAACAAAACCATTTTCGTTTACATTCTCAAGAAAATATTCTCCTCAAGCTATAGGAGTACCTAATATAACCTACGTAATCGAATGTAATCGTTTTTTATTTATAAATGTTATTGGCTATGTGAGATTTGAAACTTGGAAAGCAACAAATATCAATATAAGCTCCAAATGAAACAAATTCTCACTCGCTAAATGTACCAGCGCTTTTCAGAATGCGCCAGGAAAGGCTTGAATATCAGTTATAAATTGAGTCCTGAATATCATATTAAATTATTCGAGTTATTCAGCTCGTTGCCACGTACTTAAGAACTTGCATAAAAAATTATCTACGTATCGTCTTACAATTAAATCAATCTCTTCGCGCAATATACGAAGACTATTACACTCGTTACAGTGACAGCATTGCGATAGTTCCCTTCCATGTAAGGGTTGAATTTCAGGAAAAAGCATTGCGAGAGGGGGGAGAGAGAGAGAGAGAGAGAGAGAGAGTGCCCTTGCGAAAGAAAAAAAAAATGCGTGCCTTGGCATAAGAGGATTTCGTGCTTTCCGCACGTGTATGCGCGTACGGGTTTGCGAATTACTATTCGTGCAATATGACTTCCCTCTTGCATGTACCACGTGATTCCATGCACACCCTTTTAACAATGCATTAGTCGTGTACGTGCAGTCTTACAATATTGTGTGAAAGTACGTGTCGATTTTGCGTGTGGAAAAAGTGATTGCGAAGGGCGGTTATCGATGGCAGAGCTACTGTTAATTATCTTGTCGTGTCGGTAGTAGTTCATCATAGTATGGACGATGTCGGTGAGAAAGTAGGCTACACACACAATCATCGTGTAAGAAAAAGAAAATTTGTCTAAACTGAATTGTGAGAGGAAACGTAAACAATGCACTTGTATAGCTTTAAATGTATTCAGAAACACGTTGAAAAGCCGTAGATAAAGATTTGGGTCATTTCTTTTGAAAATTACGGTACGATCATGTATTTTATAATGTACCTGAGATAATTTTTCAATTGAGAATTTTGTTTTTATACCCTTTAATAGATATATAGATTATGCAGTATATTGATATCATAAACATTTTTTTATATCCAATAACAGTATTATTTTTTTTTATTTTTTTTTTTTGTTTAATCCATATTGATAAAGTATCACTTTTTTAAGGGTTCAAGGTTTAAAATTTATGAGCTGTTTATGGAACAGACAACAGAAATTATTTTTTACAGGCAATAACCGATTCATTATACAATAACAACATATTATTTGCAAATTGTTAAAAACAAAAGACACCATATCAAAGTTCTATTATAAAGATGAAGTGAAAAAGTTTTAAGAATTGAAATTCATATAATTATATTGCAATAGTGAGATCCGTAGAGTGCAATGTGAGAAAAATAGTTTTACATATGCTTAGTAATGAAAATATTTTTCTATCGATATTATAATGGCATTATTATAAATATTAAATTAGCATTTCAACTTATAACTAATATCATTTTTAAACATCCTCATTTACGAGCTCACAAAATAGAACTTATAACGCAATATCTAACGCCATTTGATATAAATTCACGGCAATGTAATTGAATGTATTATTAATGAAAAAAGGAGAGAAAAAACATCAAAATACTTCAAATTAAATATGTATAATTATTAGAAAGACTTTCTGCGGCCATTTGTATTCGAGTATGGATTATTAGTATATGATGAGATTTACATGTGAATAAAGTAATAACGGCAGTTCGAATCGCTGATTTTCAAGAATGATTAATTTATATTCATCTCAATAAATCATGCGTGCTGATATTTAACAGTTATTCGTGTCAATATAAGATAAATTAACTTTACTCTTATGTAAGAGCCGTGTGCAGTATAAAAACAACGTGTTGTAGTTATTTATGTTGCAAGTAACCAACAAATCAAAATACAACTATGACAAATGGTTGACTGAATATTTCAAGACTTGCTGATTAAGGAATGATTTATGCAGCACTAAATATTAATGGTTAAACTATTTTTAAACGGGAATCTTCAATTTATGACGTCGCGCATTAGTCTGCAATAGTACAAGTACGATACATACATTATTATAAGCTTATGCTAACTGATGTCTTTTAAAAACAGATTTTTCATTATTATTGATTTATCAACATTGTGGTTAAAGAAAAGCGATTAACTCTGTATTATCGCCGCCACTCCCTCCCCCCTCCCCCTCCCTAGTGATCGATGGATAAATTTAAACAATTTTATATAAGTTAAAAAAAATAGGAAAGCTTACAAAAAGTACCACTATTTATTAATTCAAAATTCAAAATTCTAAATTCTAAATAGTATGTTTAATAAAAGATAAATAAATTGGGAATAATATTTCTAAAAGCAATTTATATTTTCTCCAAAGTATTGGTACATGATTCAGCTCATTGCAAAATCTCACAGTAACTCGTCGCGCAGGAAATATGTCACCATTTCACGTTCTCATTATGCTTCAAAAACAAACGCCCTCTCTCCCTCGCCGTACCCTTGCACACTCACTTTTGTAATGCGCTGTGTGAAAAAAAAAATGTCGCCATACGCGACCCCTTAAAATCATTACATGATTCAGTTCAATAGAATCTCGAGTGTATTTTATTGTTTTTACTAATGAACTCGCGACCGATTAGTCGGGAGTTCAAGCGAGCATATGTGGATATTAACAAAACAAAAAAGAAAAAAAAACAAAATATTTACTGCCATATGTGCTAGTTGTAGTTTATCGAGATACTTCATTGATATCGTAATGTTCTAAGTAAATAAATAAATTAAATTTATAGCTTTTCTTTTCATATTCATCGTAAAGCTACTTTTAGTTAGGAAATAAAATCCATTCTCTAATAAGCAAATTAGTTCCTGATACTTTTAGTTAAGAAAAAGCAAAAAAAAATTTTGACCTTTGTCTCCGCATCGAGCGACGTTTTTCCTCGATTACGTTATAATGAATGTCGATAAGGATTTTCGAAACTCGTGCCCACTCAAATATAAATGAAAATCACAGTAGTTTAAATTACAAACTACTTTTATTCTTAAAGTCCGACGAGTTCTTAAAAAAGTAATGAAGAGAAAAGAGAACGAGTCGCGCGCATACGGAATGAGAGAGAGAGAGAGAGAGAGAGAGAGAGAGAGTAAATATCGAGGGTCGATAGGAATACAAAAATAAAAGAGTGCTCGGGCTTGTATAAGTCGAGGCAAATGAGCTCGATATCATAATACAAATATCATCGTCTCTTTATCTTATCTGTCGATAACCTCGGTGCGTTAGTTTCAATTACGTGTCAATTTCTATCGCTGCTATTTTAAATGCGTCACTGAGGTTACACATCAATAATTAACTGCAATCGACCGAGTGGTACTTCAATTAACGACCTCTTCGCTTTTCCCGTCGCTTCCCTCTTTCTCACTTTTTCTCCTATTCCGTGTCCTGTACGCCACCCCGGTCTCACCCAACGGCCACTCGGCTCGCCGACGCCCATCCCCCACACTCGTGCTCTTTATTTTTTACGCATTGACGTATGTGATTAGTGAAAAATGTCATCCAACGCTTTTCTTTCGCAGTTCTGTGTGATTTTGTACTGTTAGTATTGCTCGCAAAGCGTGCGCGGGTAAATAAAGCTGAATAAGTTTCAGTATTTCAAGTTCCCGTTGTACAAAGTTATAAAGAATTTCTTTAAATGGACTTCCCCTATCGAGAATAAAGGAGGAAATTATTTTTATGTAAATCACGTTATTTTTACGACGGCTGAGAGCATTAATGCATAATCTCGCGGGGGACTTATCAGTGGATAGTCAATCGATTTAAACATTACTTCGATAATTAAATAATTTAATAACGAAAGAGCGTATTGATTATATGGCCAACATTCATAACGTCGACGACCAGCTAAAATACTAGCAAAAAGTACAGAAAGCACTCTCGAGAGGCCAACAAATAGATCTTCTACGTCGTTTTGGCTCGAGCCGGCGAGCGATAATGCGAAATTTAAATTTCAATAGACAGAAAAATTTCCTCTTCCTCCTCCTCGCTCCCAAGACCACGGTCCCTCCCCACTCCTCGTCCTCCCATTCCGTACCCGATGTTTTTTTATATTCACGACGGCTGGCTCG